GAATTTACAGCAAGAAATCTTACAGTTAAAGATTTAATTCAAATCAAGGGAAGCAGGTAATTCAACTAAGCATGTTGCACAAATTGCAAGTAAGAGTTAAGGCACGTAGACATACGATACTAGGCTAGTCATGATCACTACATATGCTAAGGCAACTCAGTTAAGGAATTTTAAAGAAATCTACTCAGCAAGAACCGAAATTTTTCCAAAATTAGCCCGTGTACGCACTTGTCACCTCGCGTACACGGCGCTTACATATCACAATTTTTTACAACAATACCAAATCCTAAAGGGATTTCCCTCACACAAGGTTAGACAAGTCTCTTACCTCAAATCTCGCTCAATCAATCGATAAGGGTGCCTTTCCCTTGATTTTCTGACTCCGAATGGCCCAAATCTAGCCAAAAGCAATTACATATCATGAATACAACTACAAGAAACTAATTTAAATCATAAATCTACGACTTTAGCAAAGAATCAAAAAATTATCCCAAAAAGTCGACCCGGGCCCATGTCTTGAAATTGGGTAAAAGTCACAAAATACGAACACACATTCGATAATGAGTTCACCCATACCAAAATCACCAAAATCTGACACCAAATCGCCACCCAAATCCCCAAATTTAACTCTCCAAATCCCTAACCTCCAATTCCCAAATTCCACCTTAAACACACACAATCTAGGTGGGAAAATCAATCGAGAAACAAGATTATTGATCAAAAATAAGCATAAGGGGTTTACCTCAAGAAATTCCTCGAAAAATGCTCTCAAACATCGCCAAGACCCGAGCTCAAAATGTTTAAAATGAGCAAAAATCGCGAACCTTTGCATTAAAATGTTTTGTCTAGCCTTTCCACTTTTGCGGACACTTAGCCGCATCTGCAGCATCGCAGAAGCGACAACATACCCGTATTTGCGGTTCACTCGCTCTGGCAGTCAACCTTTTCGTATCTGCGGAACTTCCGCTTCTGCGGACTCGTTTCTGCGAAACGAAGACCGCTTCTGCGGAGCTCCCATGCCAGGTCCCTTCCGCTTCTGCACTGCCTCGATCAATGTGCCGCTTCTGTGGTCTCGCACCTGCGGTCAATCTTGCGCATGTGCAATTACACCAGAGTTGGTGCCTTCAGCCATTCTCACGAGTTCAAATTTGATCCGTTAACCATCCGAAATCCACCCGAAGCCCCCGGGACCTCAACCAAACATACCAACCAGTCCTAAAACATCATACGGACTTAGTCGAGCCTTTAAATCACATCAAACAATGCTAAAACACGAATTGCATATCGATTCAAACCTAATGAACTTTAAAACTCCAAACTTCTACATCTGATATCGAAACCTATCACGTCCAGTCCGATTGACCTCAAATTTCGTACACAAGTCATAATTGACATTACGGACTACTCTAACTTTCGGAATCAGAATCCGACTCCGATATAAAAAAGTTCACTCCCGGTCAAATTTTTCAAAATCATCCTATTTTCGAACTTTTGCCAATAGACACTAAAATGACCTACAGACCTCCAATTCGGTATCCAAACCCGCTCCCAAGACCAAAATCACCATACGGAGCTATTGAAATCGTCAAAACTTCATTCTTGTGTCGTCTTCATATACTTCAAACTACGGTCAATACTTAGAACTTAAACTTTCATTTTAGGGACTATGTGTCCCATTTCACTCCGAAACTAAAGATAAATCCTCCCGGCAAGTCCCAAAACCCAAAAATAAAATAAAGGGAGCAATAAATAGGAGTTCGAAGCTATTTCTCTCAAAATAACCGGCCGAGTCATTACAATTAGTGTGGCCGTTTAGCGGCTCTCTTTGTTTAATATGATTAGTGCCGAAATAGCGGGAAATTTTATTTTAAGTCTCACATGCCACATCATATTTATGTGAGGCTCTTTATTACTATTTAACAAGTGGACTTGTCCCATCTATTTACTTTAAAGATCAAACTAAAAAAGCAATTTAATGTTCCATACTTTTCCTATTTGATATCCTTAAACTAACGACAAAAAGAATTAGTAAAATAATAATAATAATAATAATAATAATAATAATAATAATAATAATAATAATAATGGTAATAAAATATTTTATCTTTTAGAAGCTAATTAACGTGTACAGATTCCCTTCCGATCGGCACTTATGTTTCAGAAGCTAATATTATGCTACATTATAAATTATTTTGTTTGGAAACATGAAGAATTTTGTATAACAATAATTTCCGAATCAGTGTAGACTCAAAAAAAGAAAAAAAGATAAAGAAAAAGCCATATTCTATGGTTCAACTTTTTCTAATTCATGGCCTGAGTATATATATAAGAGGACAGTAAACGAGATTTGTTCTCCCTAGCTTGGCCAACTCTATTCTACTTTGAGGGTGACTCGTGTAGCGTTGACAACACGGAAAATAATTACTATTTTGTTGTGTTAAATGATAATTAAATATGTCGAAAAGTATGAAAAAAATATTATCGATGGTTTAGAGAAGTAATCGACTTATTAAATAGGATGTATGAAAAACTATCCTCACAGCTCACATCGGCAGCATGTGAGTCCTCCATATTAATTGTTTGAGCAAAAAATTTATTTCCTTCTCTTCTTCAACAACACAATTCATGTGCGATCGGGAGGGAAAATACGACCTTCTGTTTGTACACGTCAATGAACTTCTCAAAGACAAAATATTTTATTGCCATTTTCATTATTATTTTATTATTTCTTTTTTTCCTTAGTTTAAGGATATTAAATAGGAAAAGTATGGAACTTTAAACTGCCTTTTTTTAGCTTTATTTTAAAATAAATAAATGGGTCCCTTGAGCCCACTTGTCAAATAATAAAGAGTTTCATATAAGTATGATGTGGCATGTGAGACACAAAATAAAATTTCTTCCGAAGTAGTTGCTTAATATCACAATATTATTACATAATACTCTCTTCGTCCACTTTTATTTGATCACTATATTAAAAATATATTTTTTCTTTTACTTGTCTACTATATTAAATCGAGAGAAAGACAATATATTTAATTCTTATTTTACCCTTATCATTAACTGCTCGTTCCCTAAATTATTTTTCAAGACTTTTGAAAATGTTATCATTATTATAGATAAAATTATAAAATATATATTTCATTTATTGTTTCAGTTCAAGATGGATAACTAAAAGGTACCGCCTCGTATTCCAAAAGTAAATATACAAACGGGGAATCTCTTGAGATATTGCATCGTAGACTGAGAAGTAAATATGCAAAAACATTAGATCTCCCGAGTAATCGTGTGTTAACAATTTGATGATTGCGATTTGTTCTTTATGATATTTGCAAGTTACATTTTAAATTTGAGTCCATTTAGAGTAGATTTGGGTATTGAATCGTGTATTGGATTGTTGAAATACGAAAAACAAGATTATGTTTCAGAACTTAAAATTCGAATTTCTAAAAATTGCTTTTGAAAGATAGAAGAACTTTAGATTTGATTTCTGAAATTGCATTGAAGAGATTGAACTATTTCATATCCGAACGGGTATACTTTGTAAATTTTGTGAAATGCGGGTATAACTTCAATAGTGGTCCCAAAAGTGGGTATATATGAAAATGCCCCGACTTTCAATCACTTAGCCTAACGGGCTTCTAACGATACCATCAATGACCCATTACTGAAAGGCCTTCCGAAAGAAATATATTGATGGGCCAGTATCCAACCACCAAGATGAATCAGTTTGTAGCCGGATGAAATTCAAAAATAGTCAGATTTATAAGTGGTAATTAAAAAATAGTCATTGTTTCAAAAGTAATCGAAATTTAGTCACTTTTCATGTAAAGATAAATCTGAACGAAAATAATGTTCAAAATTCGGAAAATATTCCAGCATAATATACTGGAATATACTAGAATTATTCCAGTATAATATGTCGGTCCAGCATAATATGCTGAAAGTTCATACATAGGTGCTCCAATCTCCAGTATATTATGCTGGAACTTTTCGCGTGTTAGAGTTCCAGCATAATATGCTGGAAGTTCATACACATGTGTATCAATCTCCAGTATATTATATTGGACCAATCCGTGTTGCAGCAAAATAGTGGCTATTTTTCAATGACTTTGCAAACGCTGGCTATTTTTGAATTACCAATGCGAAAACTGGCTAGCCCGTGCTATTTTTACTTTGTAGCTGTCACTGGTATATAATATACTCAGTGTAAGCAAATGTATAATAAGTGTATATATGTTTGATTAAACATTGATAATGCACTGCATCTAGCCAAAATTTATAAAAAATAATGACTCGGAGTTTTTTTTTGTTTTTTTATGGAGCTTACTCAGTTATTCCATTGCCAAGACAAAAACTTTTTAGCACCAAATGGCTCAGTAGGCTTGCCATTTACAACAATTGCAGTTAAGGAAAAACCAAAATGTTGAGTTTTCACTGCTCATAACTTTGATAAGAAACATGTTTTTTTATTACTTATTCAGAAATAATTGATCTGCGGATCTAGAATTTTGTGGACAAAATCATTTCCTTGTATAAGAAAAGAGTCTAGACGGTATTAGTTATCCATTTGTATCATTTTAGCTTTTGCTTAGGATTTCAAGATACCGTCTTTTTTATGTAGATCGATCAAGTGATCCTCCCGAGCCCATTACCATTTAACAACAACGTATGGAAAATGGCATTGTATAGGTGCTCTCAAAATAATAGTAAAAAAAAATAGACTTTTTGTATATTTTTTGTATATATATACATTTTTGTATGTTATATATAGAAAGTATACAAATTTTATACGCTTTTGTGGCTATCGGATGTAAACAGTTTCAGGCTTTCAGCCGCGGGAGTAATCTTTGCCCTTTAACGTACCCATATCATATAGTTTTTGTTTTTTTCTCATCAAGATCAAAGTTGATGTGAATTCCATGATTTAATTATCTTCTCTTCATCTTGGTTATATAAATATACATGCAGGAAATGAGACTACATACAATTCAATTCCCAGATTCTTGAAAAAGGAATTAAGGAAACGTGTGATTACATACTGAGGAGAGCTTGAACAATGATCTTTTATTTACAGTCAGGAGAACAAGTAAAAATGAAATAAAAATCTGACAAAAAATTATTATATGCCTATAAATGAAGAGACGCGGAGGGGAGCCTTAGAGCAACAGTAAAGTTGTCTCTGTGTGACCTGTAGGTCACGGGTTCGAGCTGTGGAAGCAACCTATCCTAATGCTGCATTAGGGTAGGCTGTATACATCACACCCCGGGGTGCAGCCCTTCCCCGGAGCCTGTGTTAACGCGAAATGCCTTGTGCATCGGGTTTGTCCTATAAATGAAGAGAGGTATCAACATCAGAGTTTTCAAATTTACGTTTTGCACTAAAACCTGACCAAAAAGTTCGCGTCTTCATAGCTTTGAAACCTGTTTGTTTGCTGTTATTCAAGCTGAGTCCAAGTGAAAGATGATCCTTTTCAGATGGAAAAATTACAATTTGATCATGTTGCAATCCTTGCTTATTTGCAGGAATACAATTCTTGGTTGAAATATTCATCACCTCAGGTTCTGGGAACAATTTTAGTGTCTTGTCTTCTCTCTGTTCTCTTGCTTTTTCCAATTGTCTGAATCTTTCTTGTAATAGTGCAATTGAAGGACCTGCAACATTAGTATCATTATTCAGCCTTCCCATCAAAGACTGCTTTAAACAAAGTGGATATATAGGAAAAAAGTCTAGAGATCAAGAACAGCTTCAGAATGTGAAAACTTATGTTGGTTTTGCCTTAGTTTGTGCGCATATATATATATATATATATATATATATATATATATATATATATATATGAAAATGGCTAAGTATTTTTGTGTTGGTTTATTGAAATTTCACAAATGACGTATTAAGGAGGCGAGAATCGGGCGACTAAGGAAGAAAATCCAAAAAGAAATGTTCTGAATGATTATGTTAAGGTAGGCTATTTTCAGGCGGAGCCACAATGTTGGTTGTGGGTTCGACCGAACCAGTAACTTTTATTCAAAATTTATATTTGTATTAAAAAATATAATGAATATGTACAGATTATTAATTTAGAACCCAGTAACTTAAAAGAATTATAATCCCGAAATCATAAGGTTCAAGTCCTAGCTCCGTAACTGTTTTGATGTGAGTATAAAGGCAGGAGGACTTTTTAGGAGAGGAAAATGGTGAGAAGAAATGTCCAAATATGATGTATGTAGTACTTGGAATATTGTGTTAGAAGGAATAAAGGGTTAGGTATTGTTACGTCTGTATGTTTTTTTTATATATTTTTGTTGAGGCATTGTTTGTTTTATTATTTCTGTCTTATGACTTCAACATCCAAATTTTTGAATAGGGGAGGAGAAAGCCATGCACTAAAGACAAATATTGTAGTGGTTATCTTTTGTGAAGTTTTGTTGGTGTGAATGAACTTTCCCTTTCTCATTTTCTTTTTTCTAATGTGGGGAGAATCCAACCAAACAGTACTAGAACTTCCCAGAGATAAAAGAAAAGCCCAAACAAAACATGAATCTAAAGGAACTTCAATGTATTAGTCAGAAATAGCATTCAAGGGCATGGTCTAAATGGTCAATAAAAGAGGATGAAAATCATCAAAAGCAGAGATTAAGTAATTTTTTTCCATCTACCTTAGTTTCGGTGGACAGATCTATCCGGTACCAGTGGAGAACCCAAAAGTTTTGCTAAGGATACTCAAGATTTAATATATATGTATAAAAAGTAATATCTAACCTATATAACATATATACTATATAATTTTTCGACGAATGGCATTCGACTAATAACCTTTTATTGGTTATTGCTCCGCCAATCAATACTTGTATTGGTGGGAGATATCAGAAATCCAATAATGTACTCATATCATATGATGCTTGTATGATGCATACAACAGTATTAAGTAAGGCTGTCCAACGGGACGTCCCGACCCGTCCCACTTAATTTTAAATGGGATGGGCCCATGTTATACGGGACACGGGATGGGACGGGATGGCTATTTCGTCCAGTTTATCCCGTCCCATTTCGTCTCGTCCCGTCCCGCGTTCCTTTTTTTTGAATTATATCCGTTGGAC